GGGCAGCTAGGGTCAGGGCACCGTCAGGCCACAGTCGGGACCATCCAGTCTCAGGATTCCAAGCCCTGGGATTGACCTGTGTCAAAGCATCAAGCAGTCTTCCTCATCCCTGGATGCTGTAAGCCCTGTGACAGGACCTCCTGACCCAGGGCTGGGGCTGCTCCCTTACCGTCCTCCCTCCCCTCCTCGCTGCCTGAGCTGCCATCAGGGGAACAGGCTGGATCGCCAGCCTGGACCTGGTTTCTTACCAGTGTGACTACTTGTGAGTAAGGCCACTCTGCAACAGTGCTACTCCATAGGTGACGCGAGGTCACACACACACACACACACACACACACACACACACACTTAACAAGCAGTTTACACAGGACAGATTCCCAGTGCCCTCCTCGGGCCCGCCACAGGCCGGAGCCATGCCTCAGATCCCAGGAGTCGCCGAAGTGCGTACTGTACCTGCGTGAACCGGTCACAGTCAACGAGGCGGAAAGTTTTGCCATAAATGGTGATGTTGATTCCTCGGTTGAGGTCCTTCCAGTGGTAGTGGTCTCCCACGTCGTTCTTGGCCAGCCGCTGGCGTTTGATGAGCTTGCCCTGAGGGATCCCAGAATTCTCCACGATGGGTTCCATGACAGACATGCTGTCATCTTCTAGGTAGTAGTAAATCTTCACCTGGCGGATTCTGTAGTGCTCCTCCATTGACATGGGGACTTCCTCTTGGAAATATGCCTCGAATTTCAGAACCTGCATTGAACAAGGGAGGCAGCAATGGTGTCATCTGAAACTTGGCAGGCATCCTCCTGAAGAGATGCCAACCTTGTCATCCTTTCAGTCAAGAGATGGAAACCGAACACTCCCCAGGGCAAATGTATTCTGCTACCTCCTATTTTTATATGACCTGCAAGCTAAGAATGTTTTTGTACATCTTTAAGTGGTTGAAAAAGTTGGAGGAAGAAGGATGTTTCGGAAGTTGTGGGCATCATAGAGAAATTTCAGATTTCAGTACTTACCAGTTGTGTAAATATTTAACACGTATTAGTTGCTGCTCCTCCGTTCTTTGGGTGACAGGGATAGGTTGCTACTGTGGATTGTATTCAATCCAGATGGACTGAGTCTTAGTGCCCAATGTGACTGTAAATGGGACATGAGGAGTTTGGGAAGTAATTCAGGTTCAATGATGTCTTAAGGTGGGGCCAAGTCTAATAGGACTTGTTGAAGAGGACACACAGGAGTAAAGACCACGTGAGGACATTATGTGAAGGTGGCTCTCTGCCAGACAGAGAGTTATTGGCTGGATGTTTGATTAGAGTTTGGGCTTCTAGCCTCCAGACTGTTAAAGAAATAAATGTCTATAAAATACCTGAGTCAGAGGTATTTTAATTTTTTGTGTCAGCCCTGGGGCTTGGACTCTGGGCCGGGTGCTATCCTTGAGCCTCTTTGTGTTCTACCACTTCAGCCACAGCGCCACTTCCAAAGTCTGAGGTATTTTATGCCAGACTCACACTGCTGCAATGCTCAACACATTGTTTAGTTCTGACAGAGAAGTGCGCAGACATCTTCTGTAAATAGTGTGTGTACATTACACTAGTCCTTGTGTGTACATTGTACTTTTCTAGCTTTGTCTTGATGTAAAAAATCCCTCACTAGCTTTTGAAGAGAATAAAAAAGAAGGACAACACAATGACTTCTGGTTTTGAAGTGAAAACAAAAGCTCCAGGCTGTTAATTTAGAAGCAGAGTCCTTTATGAGAAATATTAATGACACATTCATCTAATAGGCTTTAAATGAGCATCTCTGAATCACCAAACCACCAGTAAGTGGCAGAGAGAATGCAAATGCCCTCGCTGTGCTCAGAAACACACATGTTACATAGAGAAAGCCGTTAGGCCTCTGAAAAATATCTGCAGCAATACCAGGTCAATTAAAATTAAAAAGGAAAAAAACACTAGGGTTAGATTCAGGCAGCTGATCTATAATGTCTAATCAGTGTACTTCTAAGACACAATTACACAGAAAAGCCATTTGGAAATTCAAATCCACAAGATGAATTACACTAGAGTTTTTTTTTTTTTGGGGGGGGGGGTCCAGTCGTGGGGCCTGAACTCTGGACCTGGGCTCTGTCCCTCAGCAATTCAGCTCAAGGCTAGCGCTCTACCACTTGAGCCACAGCGCCACCTCTGGCTTTTTTCTTTTTGCTTATGTGGTGCTGAGGAATCCAACCCAGGGCCTCTGGCTTGCAAGGCAAGTGCTCTACCACTGAGCCACCTTCCCAGCCCCTTACACTGGCGTTTCTTAAAGTCTCACCAATGACATCTTCTTAGTAGATACTCATGGATAAGGAAAAACAAGAAGCATGTGCAAATATCAAAAGATGGGAATAAAGCAAGTCACACTTTGAAGGTGGAAGGGAACATGAGAAACTAGCAGATAGCCCGACACCAGTGGCTCATGCCCGTAATCCCAGCCAAGCAGGAGGCTGAAAGTTGAGCATCCTGATTCCAAGCCAGCCTGGGCAGCTGTGAGACTTTTATCTCCAATTGAATCACAGAAAAAGCTGGAAGTGGTGCTATGGCTCAAGTGGTAGAGCATTAGCCTTGAGCAAAAGGAGCTGGGGGCAGTGCCCAGACCCAGAGTTCAAGCTTCAGGACCAGAAGTGGGGAGAAAAGGCAGTGGTTAGGGCCAGGGCGGGGGGGGGGGAAGGAAGAGGGGCACAGATATGTAGTGTTGTCAATATAAATGTCCCTGCAAAACATCTTACAAGCTTGTATAGTTCAGTGACAGGTCCTGGGAAAGAAAGGGGGGGGTAAGGGAGTGAGAAAGTGAGAGAGGGAGGAAGTAGAGAGAAATAGAGAAAGAGGAAAAGGAGGGATGGAGAGGGGGAGAAAGGGAAAAGAAGAGAGAAGCAGAAATAAAAATGCAAATGAAGATGAACTCGTGGAGACAGTCTGGAGAAAATGGACAGAAGGCGAAGCCATCCCTTCATGATGGTATTCTGTATTTCATAGAGATTACTTACCAAATATTTCAGAACATACTGCTTTGAAAAATCAGAAAACACAGAGCAAAACACATGCAGTATGAATCTAAGAATTTAGGGTCCATCCAAAATTTCTTTTAAGTGTATTAGGAAACTATGCCAGGGACGCCTACCGGGAATTATTTTTTTCTGTAATCAGCTTTCTGACTAGAGAAAGCCTCTTTTAAAGTCCAAGTTCAGCTATTTATGATTGAGGGTTGAGGCATTTGGACAGTTTTCTGCTCAGAGGTCTCTAGAAATCTTGAGCTCTACCATCAGCCATCTGGATTGAAGAACTCCCCTAAAATTCCAGGCGATACCTTTTTGTCAAAAGCCACATGTGCGGGAATAAAGTCTGGAGGCGGGGGATGCTTTGGTTGGCCATAAGTTAGGACTGGTGCTTTGTTGGCCATTTCATCCAGCTCAGCCTGGGATGGCTGGTGAGACTGGAGCTGGTCCCCGCCTATCCCCACGGCTGGACGTCGGATAACCGCATAGCCATTCCTGTAGTCCAGTGTCTGGCATCGATGGAAGCTTGTTTTCTGAAGAAAAGAAGGATGGTGTTAATCACATCATTCTAATATTTGTTAGGTCAAAGAGATTTCCAAAATCTTTTAACTTAATCCTTTACTTATAGGCAAGGGTCAGTGTTTAAACTAACACATTTGGACAGGACAAGAAGGGATACATAGGAGCTACCTGAGTTTAAGATGCTGACTTGCTCAATTTAACTACCACGTCACATGAGATCAGAGTCTACAGTGTTCTCTCATCAATGATCTTTTCTTTTTGATCATACTAGAGTTTGAACCCAGGGCCTCATGCTTGCGAAGGCAAGTGCTCTACCACTTGAGCTACTTCACCAGCCCCTTTTTGCATACGTTACGGTAGTTCAGGCTGGCCAGGACTGTGATCCTCCTATTTGCACTTCTTCATATCACTCCTGGACTGCGATCCCTGTGTTTGTACTTACATCACTGAATGACAGGAACACACAACTGACAAGCTATCAGTTACGATGGAAGCTCACAAACTAATTTTTTTTTTGTCCTGGCTGGTCTTGAATAGAGATCTCCATTTTTAAACTCCCAAGTAGCTAAGATTATAGGCTTAATAACCGTGCCCAAATCCATCTATACTGTTAATTATTAGCTAATCTTCCCATCTCATCTTCCCTTTCTTCCCTTTTTATCTTCTCTGGTGGCCATGAAGCCTGAGAAGTCTGTTCTACAAATGAAAGCTCTTATAGGGGCTGGGAAGGTGGCTCAGTGGGGCTGGGAAGGTGGCTTAGTGGTAGAGCACTATCCTCAAGCTGAAGAGCTGAGGGACAGCGCCCAGGCCCAGAGTTCAAGTCCCATGACCCACCAAAAAACCAAAAAAAAAAAAAAGTTCTTGTGGTTATAATGACATTAACACATTCATATAACTTTGGAGACTAGATAGCATATATTTAAAATCTTGACTCTAATAATTCTACCCTGACCATTTTTTTTAACTATATTTTTTTTGTCTTTTCTTTTTTTTTGGTACTGGAGATCGAACCCAGGACGTTGCGCTTGCTAGGCAAGCGCTTTGCCACTGAGCTACATCCCAGCCCCTGACCATTTTTAAGGACATACTCTAAAATTATGAAGCTGCCCATGTCAATGGTATTTATGATGGTAAAACACTGGAAATAATCTAAAAGACAAATATATAAAGACATGAGTAAATAGTAGAAATCTTTCTAATGGACTATTATCCAGTCAGTAAAACAATGATTTTTTTTAAAGAGTATTTAACAGCTGGCCAGTGTTTGATGTGAAAGGACCAAAAAACATATAAAATGAAATGTACAATTATAAGCATGCAAAAAATCATATGCACAAAAGCAGAATCAATTCAAAGCATGTCTTCTATATTATAAAATTAAAAATTTTTTATTATTTTGAAGTAGTTGTACAAAGGAGTTGCCATTTAACAAAACAGTATATGAATACGTTTTGGTCCATGTCACTTCTTTTATATTATACATTTCTGAATTGTGGGTTTTTTTGTTTTTTGTTTTGTTGGTTGTAGGACTTGCACTCTGGGTCTGGGCGCTGTTCCTTAGCTCTTCAGCTCAAGGCTAGTGCTCTACCACTTGAGCCACAGTGCCACTTCTGGTTTTCTGGAATTTATTGTAGATTAAGAGTCTACTTTCTTGGACTGTCTTTTTTCTTTTATTGTGAAAATACTGTACAGAAGGGTTACAATTACATGGGCAAGATAATGAGTACATTTCTTATCAAGCATTGTAGCCTCCTCTTTCTTGGACTTTCTTTCCCAGGCTGACTTTGAACCTTGGTCCTAGATCTCAGCCTCCTGAGTAGCTAGGATTACAGGTGTGAGCCACCCACACCCAGCTGTGTTTTTTTTTTATAGTGAGTATATTTTTATTAGTAGTTGAAAGAAATTAAACCAAGAGTTAAAAAGAAAATTAGAAAAAAAAAGCAAATTAGAGGTAATTTTTTTTCTGTCCTTTGTAATTTGGAATTACTTTCAAAACTTTATGCAGCAATTATAGCTACATTTGTAACTTAGAATTAGGCATAAAAGCTCACACCTGTAAATATTAGCTACTAAGGAAGCTGAGGTCTGAGGATTGCAGTTCAAAGGCAGCCTGGGCAAGAAAGTCTGTGAGACTCTTATCTCCAATAAACCACTGGAAGTGGCGCTGTGGCTCAAGTAGTAGAGCCCTCGCCTTGAACTGAAGAGCTGAGGGACAGCGCCCAGGCCAAGAGTTCAAGTCCCACAACTAATATAAAAAAATCATAAAATATATTTGATGAGAAAAAAAGTAGACTTATTGGCCTCCCTCCCAATTTCTTTGTGCCCACCCTAGCAATTTTCAAGATCTGTACAAAAGGTACACTAGAACGAACTTCTTTGGCTGAAAGAGTTATGGGCTGTGGGACTCTTTAAAGCTTGTGGTGTGTTTTAGGGGCACAAGGGAGTGTAGAGGAGCTGCTTTGGGCACTGAATATTGAAGGCAATAAGATAGGCCGGGCTGACATTCTCGCAGAGTAACTTCTATAGCTTCAAGTTCTCCTGTCTCTAAAGACAGAAGCAATGTCAGCAGTTGCTGACATTGTTTTACCTAAAGAAAATACTTAAGATTGGGGCTGGGAAGGTGGCTCATTGGTAGAGCGCTTGCCTTGCATGCATGAGGCCCTGGGTTCAATTCCTCAGCACCACATAAGAAAAAAGCCAGAAGTGGCACTGTGGCTCTAGTGGTAGAGTGCTAGCCTTGAGCTGAAGAGCTGAGGGACAGTGCCCAGGCCCAGAGTTCAGGCCCCACGACCGGACCCCCCCCCAAAAAAATAAAATAAAATACTTAAGATTGAGGAAAGGCACAAAACCCAAACTGAGCCAGGTACCTATGGCTCCCACCGGTCACCCTAGCTACTCAGGAGGCCGAGACCCTGAGGACTGTTGTTCAAAGACAGCTCAGGCACAAACCTCCACTAGACTCTTGCCTCCACCTAACCAACAAAAAGGCAGAAGTGGAGCTGTGGCTCATGTGGGCTCATGTGGGAGAGCACCAGACTTGAGAGAAAAAGTTAAAGGGCAGTGCCTAGGTCCTGAGTTCAAGCCCCAGGACGGGTGCGTACGCACAGAAAGCAGGGGCACACACACAAATAAGACACTAAAACCAAACAACAAAAACCGTGGAAAGGAGGGACTGGGTGGAATCAAGCATACACAAGAGGGAAATGGGGCTGGACATGGAGGTCACTGGCCTGGGGTCGAAGAGAGGGAGTCTTGGGGACAGAGATGGGCCTGAGGAGGAGGACAGTGGGCAGAAGGAAGCAGACCCAGGGGGCGCAGAGGAGGGGGGGAGGGAGAGGAGGAGGGGGGG